TGTACGTGGGGGTATCCTTGGGGGTATCCTTGGGATACCCCCACGTAACACAGACCGTAGGTCACCCGTAGTCCCAGGACGCCTCTCCCAAGAGCTCCTGACGTGGACTACCTGACTGACCAAGCACACATATAAGTACCGCACCTGTAGGACGCCTCTCCCAAGAGCTCCTGAACCAGGGCGGAACCACACATCCAAGAGATAAGACCGGACGAAAGAAGAGGACGACGCCCAAGAAGCCGCACGGCAGACGTCCTCGACCGACGCCCCCCTGAGGAGGGCCGTAGAGGCCGCCATCCCACGCGTGGAATGCGACCTGAAGCCCACCGGGGGGGCCAGACCCTGCGTCTGATACGCCCGCCGCACAGCCGTGGCGACCCAGTGCGCCAGCCGCTGAGCCGACAGCGGGGCGCCCCTGTTCTTGGGGCCCAGACACACAAACAGCTGGTCACCCAACCAGAATGAAAACGTCATGGCCAGGTAATGCCTAAGCATTCTGACAGGACACAGAAGGTGCCGCCGCTCCTCCTCGGGGGAGGCATGCGGTGGCGGATAGAATGCCCTAATCCTGATGACTCTCGACCTAAAGGCCGACGTGATGACCTTGGGGAGAAAAGCCGGATTGGGCCACAATTCCACCATGCCGTCGTCCTCTCCAAAGGACAGGCAAGACGCATGGACGGAGAGCGCACACAAGTCGCCCGCCCTCTTAGCAGACGCCAATGCCAGCAAGAGGGCCGTCTTAAAAGCGACACACTCGGGACTCGCCTCCGCCGCCGGTTCAAAAGGCGGACCCGACAGACCCCTAAGGACCACCCTGAGGTCCCAAACCGGGGGCGTTCTCTAGAGCGGGGGCCTCCTCCTGCGCGCCCCCCGCAGAAAAACCAACGGATGAGAGCGGGCTGTGAACCCCGAGCGGGCTGTGAACCCCCCGAATCCGTCGTGACCCGAGGTAATGGCTGCCGCGAACACCGCCAAGGTGGCGACAGCCCTCCCTTTGTCAAAAAGCTCCTGTAGGAATCCCAGGACCCCCTCCAGCGGGCAACGCCTGGGATCCCAGGAGCGAGAACCGCACCAGTCGCTGAAGAGCCTCCGCCTCGTGGCGTAGGCCCTCACAATGGACGGCGCCCTCGCCCCCTGAATGGTCTCCTCCACCGCCGGGGGAAGACCCAGGTCTACGAGGTTCCGCCTCTCAGCCTCCAAACCCAGAGGCTGCGGCCGATTATCGAGCGTGAAAACAGGGCTCCCCCCCCTCTGGACTAGAGCCCCCGGCTCGTCCGGGAGGGCCCAGGGCTCCATCACCGCCATGCCCCTCAGGAAGGGGAACCACCGGGCATGCGGGCTGTCCGGAGCCACCAGGATCACCGACCTCCTCTCCTGTTCGATCCTCCGCAGCAGGACCGGCAGGAGACGCACTGGTGGGAAGGCATACAGCAGGCCCTCTGGCCAGGGGTAATGAGCCAGAGCGTCCACGCCTAAGGGCGGCTCGTCCGCTGCCCTTAAGGCAAACCAGGACAGGCACTGTGCGTTCTCTGCACTGGCGAAAAGGTCGACCACTGGACGGCCGAACCTCCGCCAGATCTCCGCAGCTACCCGTGGGGCCAGGCCCCACTTGTCCTGGAGTGGGCCCCCCCTGGACATCCTGTCGGCCCCCACGTTCCGGACCCCCGGGACGTGGCGCGCCCTCAGAGACAGAAGGTGAAGCGCCGCCCACAGCAGCATCACCGTCGCCATGCGATGGAGGGCGGGGAACCTGGTGCCCCCTGCCTGTTCAGATAAGAGACCACTGTGGTGTTGTCTGAGCGCACCATCACGTGTCTCCCCTGCAGCTGAGGAGCAAAGTGCAGCAGTACCCTGTGTACTGCCTCCATCTCCAGCAGGTTGATGTGGCGGGCTGAGTCCGACCAGCAGCCTCCTACAGAGCTCTGGCCGAGGACCCCGCCCCAACCTTCGAGTGACGCGTCCGTGAACACCTCCACGTGAGACACGGCGCAGGCCAGAGTCACTCCGTCCCGGAGTGACTCCATCATGCGCTGAGCCGGCTGCAGTTTGCTTTTCTCCCTGTTCACCACAAAGCCCAGGCGCTGTATGTGGGACAGGACCCAGTGTGTGTGACTCACGGCCACTTCCCTGGATGAGGCCAGTATTAACCAATCGTCTATGTAGGTTAATATTCTTACCCCTGCGCGTCTGAGCGGCTCCAATGCCGCCTCCACGCATTTGGAGAAGGTCCGAGGCGCGAGTGCGTAGCCGAAGGGGAGACGGCAGTACTCGTAATTCCTCTCTCCCACTGCGAAGCGCAAGAAACTCCTGTGTTCCGGAACTATCGGCACGTGGAAGTAAGCGTCTATGGAGGACATCCAATCTCCCTGCCTGACACACTCGAGGAGCTGTTTTGTGGACAGCATCCGAAACTGCCGTTTGGAAATGCACTCGTTCAGAACGCGCAAATCCAAAATGGGACGCACCCCGCCTGACTTCTTTGGCACCAAGAAGTAAGGGGAGTACAGCCCCTTGGTGGCGTCCTGTGGGTCTACCTCCACTGCTGCGCCTCGACTCAGTAGAGAGGAAACCTCCGCTTGTAGTGCCTCTAATGATCCCTGTACCTGAGAGCGTGCTGCCCGTACGCCTCGGAATGGTGGTGGCTTTCGGGAGAATTGCAGTGCGTAACCCCTGCGCAATGTTTTCTCCCGCCATGGATCCGTCAGCAATCCCTGCTCCCTCCAGATGCTGTAGAAGTCTGTGAGGGGCGGAACGGGAATGGAACACAAGACGTCACGGCCCCGCCCTCTCCTGGTGTTCCTAGAAGGGAGGGGGGGTGGACGAAAGGGCAGGGGGGCCCCCTGCGTCATACCGTGTGCGCCAGGGGCGGTCACGTGTCCTGCAGGCCCGACGTCATAAGTACGGGTCTGCTCATACCACGTGACTCGACTGCTGCGCCCCCCCCCCCCCCCTGGCTCTTGCCTCATGGAGGGGGGGGCGAGCCCCTGGAGTGGGAAACGCCCTGTTAGCCTCGTAGCTCAGAGGGGCTAGCACGTGTTCGGCCGAAGCACACACACATCACTACTCACCAGATCCCTCCGCCTGACCTCTCTCTGGGAGGGCATAGCATGGATCAGAGGACCGGAGCTCATAGCTCGCATAGCGCACTGCACACCCTGCTCTGGGGGCTGCAGGCCTAGCGAAGCAACGTTATGTGCCCGGGAAGTAACACAATCAGATTGCACATTAGACATGTTACGTACCCCCAAATGAGACTCAGACAATGAGTACTGACGAAATGCCGGTCGGCCTTTATTGAAAGAATTCTTGCCACCCCGACCTCCTCTGCCATAGGGAGGCCGGCAGTGGGTGCGTTGCTCCCGCGAGCCACCCGTGGGTCTGTCTGGACCCGGGGGCCTCGTCGAGGGGGGACGATGGACCACAGAGCGCGGATAAGGGTCAGGACGCCTCCCGGGCGAACGCTCTCTGCCTCCGTCCCGGCTCCGTGATGGTGGGCGGGCCTCGCGCCTCGGTGCTAGGTGCGGGGCTAGCCTAGCCGAGTCGTTGGCTGCAGACTCCAGTCTCGCCACCAGGGCCTGCGTGTCTGGGCCGAAGAGGGACGTCTGGGAGACGGGCAGGTCCAGCAGCTGCCTATTCTCCGCCTCCCTGATAAGCCAAAGGTGCCTGGCCCCGACTTGGGCTGCTGCCATGGAGCGGCCGCCATCCACGGCTAGCGCCTGGCACATGCGCAGGATCGCCGCCGAGGTGGTCCTCGCCTGCGATAGGAGGTCTCCACTGAGCGCCTGGCCAGAGGAGAGCGACCTATCCAGGGCCCCCGTGATGAATGCCATGTTGTTAGCCAATGTGACGACCTGTGCCGCATTGGCATAACATCTATCCAGCATCGCCAAAGACATCCTGTCCCGCTCGGAGGGAAGGAGAGGTCTGGTGCCGGGCCACACGGATGCGGAGGGCTGCAGGGCCATGCGGACTGAATCCTCGATGTCCGGGACACCACCGGTCCAGGACCCGTCCTGCACGCTGCAGTACATGCCGTACCCCAGAGCAGGCCTCTTGGCTGCTAGGGACTTTGGCCACTCACGTGTCGCGTAATGGACGATCGGGTCCATCCGCGGGCACAACGTGGGTTGTATCCTCCTTCTCCCTCGAGTGGTGGCGCCCACAGAGGTGAAGTCCTCCACCGTCTGGATCCAGCGACGACGTCCGACGCCGGAGGGCGAAGGGAACTCGGACGAACAATGGAAGACATCTCAGAATGAAGTAAGTACTGTGATAGATCTCAATCGGCGCCAGAGTGAAAGAGGGGGTGCGGCTTTGTGCAGGGTCCTTTATAGAGGAGGGTCGCTGGTGATTGGAGCAAATTATTTTGATCTCTCTGGCGTGTGACCTGGGGGTCACGAGTGATATCCCACTAGCGAAGTCCTATGGGATGTAGCACCATGACGTAGAATCAGATTATTTTTCATCAACATTTTCCCAGCATTTTACCATGTGTGCCGGCTGTTCTGTTTTTCCTGAAGAGACTTTTTTTAATCCCTTCTTATTGAAATGCATAAGGTTAAACCTGCATTGAGTATTGGTTATTCTGGATGATTCAATTCACTTCAACTTATTATTGTATAGCCCTAAATCACAACAGAAGTTGTCTTGGGCTTTACAATGTTCGCCATTCACCAATAACAGATCAGAGAATTAAACTGTTCAAACACAGGAAATGCAATAATAACAAACACTATGCCGTTGATCCATAGGGAGCAGGATGACCAGTGTACATAAGTGTTGATAAATGTCCATAAATGTCCTGGATCATCTCACACCCTCCTACATCACAGAACAGATGTACGGTGAATGAATGAAAGGCCTAAAACTATTTAATCTTCCCTATCATACTTTTATTTTTAACTTGAGCAAATCCATCTTTGTTTAATTTGGCCGAATACCAAAAAAGCAGTCTGTTTTTCAACGTCTATGAATGCAATCCTGCGTTTTTTGTTCAGGAGCTGGAGGAGCGCATTCGCCATCACCACCACGTTGAGCTCCAGTCCCTCAGAGAGGCCCATCGCCAGAGCATCGAGACGCTCAAGCAGCAGTCAGAGCAGGAACTCCAGACGCTGAGATTTGAACTGGAGGACGAGGGGAAAGCCATGCTCGGTAACACACCACTCTCACTGGTTTACTGCCCCCTGTCTGTTGGGGTCATTACTGCTGTCACTTCAACATAAAAGTGAGTGTGGTTTTGGGAAAATGTTAACTTATTAAAACAATACAGAACACATTAGAAGTTTTTGGCACAATAGAAAACAACTATTTGTTATAAACCCAAAATGGTGAGTGTGACACTAATGGTCACTGAGCGAGAGAAGATTACTTTTCAATGTAAGTCAATATAGGCTGGCCTTAGCCATGCGTACACTCCGGTCAATCATAATTGCACGTAACGTCTGGGTCTGATCCCTGTGTTTGCGATTACATCGGTTGAATGCCATCCGACCAATCAGCGAGTGTTGTAGTTTGTAGTTAGATGTGGGTGACGTCACGAGTTTGCGCCAAACAGGCTAGTTGTAGTTTGGCAATGGCGAAGAATGCGATAGTAAAGTATTCCGGTCTGGTTCTATGAAGAAATGGAAGCCGGAGAAAGAGGAATGTATAACAAAAGTCATTGCTGGCAACGATTGTGGCTCCCCACAGGCTCTGTTAGCGACAAAGGAGGTGGCTATGCTAAATGCTAACAACTCACTGGGGCGCATTACATACGTGACAGTAAACTCTGATCTAATCATTTCTATCTGCACAAGGAGTTAACCCCTCCCACCTGTTAACGGAGTCAATGTAGCACCTCCAGACCTTAGTACGAAATGTACTATGGTGTGATACGACCAGGCTAAAGTCAATAGGAGCCAGAGCAAAACTTGGTCCTTGAGCTAGGGGGTTAGTTAGCATTCTTCATCTAAATGCAGTCTATTAAATGGGCTAGCGCAGATGTGTTAAAACCGGTTCCAGAAAAGGTGAGTCCATTTTTAACCTGAAGACTTGAGGAAATGGGTGAGGACTGGTGTTCTCTTGCTCAATTGTAACTAAAACCTGCAGCAACACCTTTGAGGACCGGTTTGACACACCGGGCTAGAGCGATGAAATGTAATATATAACCCTTAAAGGCACTATTCCAAATTTAATTATAATCAGAGATGGTGCAGCTGGAGGCCTTGCTTTCATTCGCACTGCATACAAAACATAACTTTGCCCGTCTTAGTTGAGGCCTTTCCATTTTCCCTTCCCAGATAATAATCACGGTATTACTGTATTCCAAACGATTTGAACTTCTCTGTCGCGAAAGTCTACGTACGGCTGGTGAAAGTGCACTCAAGACAAAAGAGAGGGGGGACTGCTGAATGCCGACTGCTCACTGGTCCAGTTTGTGCGCTCGCTCACACACCTCTGCACCTCTTTGATAAATGCACTTCCATTAACCTTCATGTCGCGCCGCTGACACCGGGCCGCTCCATCCGTCTCGTACTTCCCACGTCCTGACACGCGCTTATTACCTCCTCCGCTCCGTCGCTGCCTTCAGCACCATCCTATCTGCCCCCGGTGGGTAATTATACTCTGGCCGTTACGGACTGGCCACTCAGCGCCCAGGGTTCATTATTTCAACACATATAGCTGCAGCTTTTCTTCAATTTCACATAAGTCTCGCTTTGAAAGTTATATCGATAGGCCTTTTTTATGCTTCTTCCAATGAAAGCAGTTTATTGCAGGCAGCATTAAAGGCCACTTGGGTGCAGGTGGATTGCTCTTATGTTTATGTGCAAAGGAAAACATGTGGGATTTATTGCCACGCTTTCTTTGTTGTCCACGGAATAAATGTGAATACAATTGTTTGACTCGTTCCTGTTGTGGTTTTCTCCATCAGCTTCGTTGAGGTCCGAGTTGAACCACATCCACGCGTCGGCCATCGAGCACATGAGGCAAACGCACCAACAGGAGACTTCTGCAGCCAAGATGGAGCTTGAGAAGGTTCTGGAGAACAACAGGATACAGGTAAGAGGTCTAAACTACATCAGCTCCAAAACCAGGGGTGGGCAACATTGCAATATCGTCATGTGGAGAGCCGGATCCGTTTTCATGTGGTTACCATTTCATTTACTTTGGCAAAACATATTCGCTATTTTTTGTGAAGTATTGTTAGAGTTCGTGTCAGTTGTCAATTTATATGTATGATTAACAAACTTATATAAAGAAAGGAGAGGAAATCATGGAGCCAGTGTTCTATCCAGTGTTTTGTGTATAGCTCATCTCTAGCATTGTTTTCAATGCTAGAGATGAGCTATACATTATACGTTTCCATTTACTACCCCTTAATGGTAGTGGGAGTAGTTAATTAGTGGGAGTTGGTGGAGAAGGTGTCAAGGTGGGAATTGAACCCACGACTTTCAGGCCTACAGGCCATTGCTCTACCAACTGAGCTACTGTTTCAACATAATTCAATGGTTTTGCTGAATATTGTAGACTGATTAACAGATAAATGTTTTTGACAAATTATGCAGTTTGCCCAGGTCTAACCAAAACAGTGTCTTTTATGTCAATTAATGATTTATAATGGAGCCCATGCACAAGGTTTTCAAACGGCAAAGCAGCACTGTAGAAACACTAAGCTTTGGCTCACTGATTTCGGCTTTATTGCCAATTTACAATTAAAATCCATGGGCATCTATTTTGGCATTGTATTTATAGATAATCACTTGGGGCGAGTTGCCTTGTGCTGTGATGAGGTTTGTGGTGGTCTGCAGCAATCAGACTCATCAGTGTTGTGTTTAAGTGTAGCTTTCTGATTATCCTAAAGCCAGTTTGCGTATGTTTTGAATTGCAAAGGATCATGCACGTGTTGTTTGAAACCGTTTAGTATAATTTTTCAGCTGCAGTAAAAGCCTTTTGTTGATTATAATCACCACCACATCATCAATCAGGACTTGTCAACAGAACAAGTTTTCAACCACGTTGGAGAATACAAAAATTTACAATGGATTTTACAAACTTACTTTTCTTTAGTATAGACATCTCACCTGCTTGTGTGTAAGGCAAGGCCAAGCAAGTTTATTTGTGTAGCACAGTTCATATACGCGGCAACTCAAAGTGCTTAACACAACAACAATGATAGAAACAATGTGAAGCACTTTGGGCAGCTGGTGTTGTTGTAAATACAAGGTCTACACCTTGTATGATTGCATCCCTTGTATCCCTACGGATATAACCTTCTCCACCTGACCCAGCGGTAACCAACAGACTATAAAGCAGTTTCGTTTTATTACTGTCTCAATGACTGCTATATTTGGTAGTATTGTTCTCACTGACCCGTCCTCTGCAAAAAGGCTAGCTCGTGAGGTACATTAAAAGGCAGTAGGTAGGTCAGTAGGTAGATTTAAATTTTATTTCTGTGCACGGAGACCCAGGTGCAGGGAACAGTAGTTCGGGACAGTCAATTGTGGACTGTGCTAGTGATAAATATGCATGCAAACGTGTATACACATCTAGTCTAATCTAGTTTCACTTTCTTTATTATTTATATCTAAAGGGGCCGTATTACTGGGTGAGTGAAGTCATTACAATTACAATCCAACTGTTGCCAGAATCTTCCTGCCTGTGACACTCATGCAAACCACCTGCTAGACTTTAGCTAGAACTGGTGCAAATTCTGTTTACGTATGACTACTTATTTCTGTACTCACTTGAACAATTTGAACACATTTTTGGAGCTGTTTTTACAGTGATGTCTTTCTTAACAATGATATTATACCGTACCAGAGAGGAGCAGAAGCCTCCTTCCATAGCCCAGACCCTTCTTCATGTTTCCACTTTTGTTCTGAAAAAGCTAAATTTGATACATCCTGAACTATTATCTGGAGGCACATATGAAACTTGAATATTATACAGTCCCTTTAAGTTATTCTAAAGAATCAAAAGGAATGAAAGAACCTCCCATTGCTCACAATCAGGACCACAAGTTGCACAGTGGTCAGAGAGAACAAGGCCAGTGATTACATCGGGGTGATGGTAAACGTTTGAAAGCTACTAACATCCGTTGCACTTTTCTGATTAGCTAGGGAAGCTGTGGATGATGTCATTGTGACATTATAAAAATAGCTTTCAAAACTAACGTTTCATAAAGCTATTAGCAGTAAGGCCAGAGCTATACTCTATTAGGGTAGGCCAGAAACATGACATAGTTGTGTGAATAGATGGAATGGAAAGACATGTTATTTAGATACAGTACAGTGCTGGACTAATAAGCACACCTGTATATAAACTGCAGCCGCTGAATTTGAAAAGAAAGTGTATTCTGTCCACGTATAAGCCACATGAATATAAACCTTGTGTTTTCATGCTGTAATGTAAAATGAAGCAGATAGAGGCCGTTTTAAACATGATTTAATGACAACCCTAACCCTAACCTGTAGGAGAACTGTATGTGTCCAGTAGCAGCAAAAAAAATAAAAATAAATTGATCATTCTAAAAAGATAACAATAGTAATTAAAGCCGCAAGCGGCGATGAAAGGCCTCGCCCCTCTTGCGACCGCCTCCTGGGCGCCGGTCCCACAAGCGTCACGCCGACGAATTGGCAGCCCGATCTGACCAGGATTACGTATATAAAAGCTCATTTATATGATAAAGTGCGTCCCTAGTGGTCACCTCCGGGACATGCACCCTCTACGTAGAGTAGTATTTTGCTCGTGCAGATGTAAAGATTTGATTTTGCAACTTTGGTGAAGATCGGAAAAGTTTAGGTCAGAAGCCTTCCATAGGTGGCGCTGTAGAGTCATATTAGGTGTGTGTTTTCACACCATTACTCTCAGGCCATTACCAACTGTTAGCGATGTGAGTTTTAGCTCTGTAGGTCTGAGCCTGTGGTCAGGAGAGCATCAAACATGGAGAAATTCCCCGCTACCTCGCATGAAAACGATAACAAAATTCTAACCTTTATGCGATGATTGCATAACTTCAATCCGTCCAGATGGAGAAATGACATGGTAGAAGTCTGTGCGATGAAAATCCAGGGACTAGTACGAAGCCAAAAATGAGACACATTGAACTGCCTGTAGGTGGCGCTGTTGCACTCACAGTTGTGTGTTGCATATCGTTGTGTTCAGGGTCATACGCTGTATTTCTGAATTCATTTTTAGCCTCATCGGACAAAGATTTTGCCCTAAAAAGCTCATTTATTCACTTTAGGGCGCCCCCAGTGGTCAGGTGTGGGACGTACAACTTTTTCGTAATGTAATGTTTTGCTCGTCTCGGTCCAGAAAATACACTCAGCGATTTTCGGGCCGATCCGAGCACTAGTGCCCTATTACTTTCCGACAGGTGGCGCTAAAGAGCTCAAATTGGGCGAATGATTTTAGTGTCATTGCGTTCAGGCCATAACCTAATATTACTGATGTGAGTCTCAGCTCTGTAGGTCTGAGCCTGTGGCCCTCAGGGCTCAGCGAAAATGGCCAAAACGAAGGCCTTATTCGCCATGGCGAGGGACGAAAACGGTGAAGATTTTCTAACTTTTTTTCGATGATTATATAACTTCAATCCGTCCAGATTGGGAAATTACGTGGTAGAACTCTGTGTGATGAAAAACCAGGGACTAGTTCGAATTTGTAAATGAAAAGTCAAATTAGTGGCGAAACTTCGGCCCCTCATGGCCGACTTCCTGTCGGTCCCAGACATGTGCTTAGACCGGCTTTTATGCTCGTCTCATAGAGATCTATCACTCATCCGAATTTCGTGTACCTACTCCAAAATATGCAATCCTGCCTCCAATAGAAATGGCAAATTTTGAATTTTCAAGGGGGCGCTATTGATTCGCCTTTTGTCGGACAATCTGGAAACGTCCGTTTTATCAAATTTTTCGCCGGACCGGTCGTTTTAGACCCCCCATGTGCAGACTTTCGTGCATGTCTTCAGGGTCAAAAATCGAATTGAAGATGCGGAAAAAAAAGAATAATATGAAACCGGTGAATAACAATAGGCCTCCCCAATACTTCGTATTGGCTCGGCCTAATAATCAGCAACAGCCCTTCAGGTCACAGCAGCGGAGGTGTAGCAGGACGGGTCAGAGCAGCAGAGGTGGAGTAACCACTGGGTGGAGCAGGACGGGTCAGAGCAGCAGAGGTGGAGTAGCCCCTGGGTGGAGTAGGACAGGTCAGAGCAGCAGAGGTGGAGTAGCCTCTGGGTGGAGCAAGACGGGTCAGAGCAGCAGAGGTGGAGTAGCCACTGGGTGGAGCAGGACGGGTCAGAGCAGCAGAGCTGGAGTAGTTTTCTAGCGCATACAAAAGTAAACCACTTTAATGCAAAGTTCTGTAAATAACATACTGAACTCTAAGGAGAAAAACACTAACTATTATCTTGGTGAAAGCGTCAGAACTCTTTTCACCAATCCGTCCATTTTTATCTGGCTGGGTACTGGGTAGCAGTCGAAGCAGAGAGACCTCCCTATCCACACACACTTCCTCAAGCTCATCCAGGGGAGTCATTCCAATCCCATCTATTTTGACAATAAACGTCCGTTCTGTAGTTACTAAATCTGTCAAAGAAAAAAAATCCATAAATTCTGCTTTGACAACAGCCCTCACCACATCAAACCATTCCTGTGTATTTCAGTCATTTCCTTGTGTTGTCTCCTTCTGCTGTTCAAATAAACATAAACCACAGCTGATAGAGTTTACCACACAATAGAATTACATACAATGTCCACATTAATATAGAGCCCGTAGAGTTTAAAGAACATTAAAAAAGTAGCGTCTCGTAGTCCGGCAATTACTGTATGTTACCAGCAGGAGAGTAGTGGGGCAGCGTACGTAAATAAACAGATGACGATTCAAGTTCAGACCAGTGCACACCTGCTGCATGCCTCCTGCTGTAGGGATTCTGTTGAACTCTCTCATTATCAGAACACAGTCCCTCTGCCGCCACAGCGCCTTACACATGTGCAGACAGAGACACCACACTCCTCTCTGTGGGAGCCATGCTTTTCTGTGGTCTATGTCTGTTCAAT